AAATTGCCAACTGTTGGGTGTGACCTTATAACGGTGTAATGGCAACTGAAGAGAACTATTTCGCCTGTTTCGCCATTTACTGAAGTGATTCGAAATGATAGTCGCCTTTTCTGTATTCTCTCACCACTACCACTAACTCACCTATACGCATCCGCTATTTGTTCAATCCTCTTCTCTCTTTTTCCTTCCACATAAAAGACAGTGGCGTATGCGCAGGCCATCGCCCTTCGCTCCGCCCTGCCGCCGCCTGACGTCAAAACCGCGCCGAATACGGGCCCTTGTGCGTATTCCCTCTCCGCTTTCTTCCTCTAGCATTCGAAGGCTAAAAATGAATGGACCGCTGAATCAAGGAAGATGTAGCGGATGAAGCATTGACTATACTGTTAGTGACATAACATTTACGTTGAACATTGTCTAGGACAGAGTATATGGAAGACGAAAAACTGCAAAGCTTTTTCGGAGGAAGGCAAATCCTGGTTGTTACATGGTTACATTGCGCTAATACAAGACATGCGCAAAACAGTATCCGCGTTTATTTGGATGAAGTGATTTCTAAGACAGCTCTTTTATGAACAGCGCCATTTCTTTTGTGTTGGAACCACAGGTCCGATGTCCTCATGAAAAATAGAAAATGTTCCGTGACTTTCAAATGAGCATGCCGAGACTGAAATAAAACGAATGTAAAGAAGCGCTCCTTTGATGATGAAGATAAGACTTGGAACTGATAGTCAAATGAAGCACTGAACATGCAGAGCGTTTCGCCACTATCGTCTGCCCCCAATTCTACTAAGGATATGTCTTGAGGCGCTTATCTAATTTTTTGGTATATGCTGTTAGATTCTCTGTATTAACATGCGAAAGGAACAGGTCCAGAAAGAACAGGTCTTGTGGAAGTTCTCAAAGATATTCTTCGAGGGCTCAACCATTTCCATCTATGCGCTCCCATTTGATCTGAACTGTTTTTCCTGTTTCATGCCGGTTATCGCGGTAAACGACGTTGTGCCTCACCTTGATTCCCGGTGATCATTATCTGTCCACAGAGTAAAGGGCTCATATTTGGACTCTACAGCGAGACAGACTCACCAGTCGGCAGACTGCCAAGGAAATCGGCAGGACTTTTGCGTCGTTTGCTCCCATCTCAAGACTCCTGAAACTTAGCGACAGCGTGAGTTAACGAACGTTAAACAACAAGCATGACTCCGGAGAAGAACGGCAGACGTGGGAAGCAAGGTTCCAACAGCACCTACAGCGTCAATCACACTCATGCAGAACTGGAGCTCTCTGTCTCGAAATGGACGACTTGTGGCTTTACGCGCAATAGTGGCGTAGTGAAGGAAGTTTCAAAGATGGCATCACGCCTTGCTGGCACTCGCAAATCGCCTCGTCTTCAACGTGCTAGGAAGAATGTCATGGGTGACTGGAAACAAGTGTGGTGACAAAACGCTACCTCAGAATTGCAGAGCAAGCTCTCATGTTCAGGTTATCCTTTCTAACAAGGAAAAAATTCAAGCTGGATGGACCAGACGGCGCTTGATGTTACCGGTGTGGTTTAAGAGAAGACCCGATGCGGCTCAGTCGACGCAACTTCGGTGGCGCATTACTTATAGTTTGGGAGCGCTACGCTGGGACAGAAAGTTAGAACTAGCATTTATTCCTGCCAATTGGATTCATGTAAAGTCGAGAAGCTCTAGAGGTCTGCTGCCGCCTATTGGGTTGGCAACTGTTACCGCCGTTTTTCAATTTCAGTATTCCATATGTCACTAAATATTTCTGGCATACTGCTTTAATGGGCGTTCGAAAGAGTTTTGTGTACCTTGGAATTTTTCTTTTCGATTGGACTAAATTCATATAATTCGGAGCATTGAAATGGAAGTGAGATTGAGAAAAATGACCGTTTTTGGCATTCATTCTCTCGCCTCAAAAACTGAGGTTTCACCTCCACAAAAGCTGCTCGCGACATCTGTGCTGTTGGAGAGGTGCCATAGCTGAGAGAACCGCTAGTGGTTAGATAAGCCGAGTTCGAAAATGGAATACTTGAACTCAAAAAAGGTGCAGTTTTAGATGAAGGACTAGTTGAAGACAATTTTTAAAATTCTCGTCAAAGCGGAAGTGGCAGAGAAAATGAGACTTTCACGTTGCTATACAGAAACAATCTTCACTCGCTGAGGAAGCTTTGAAAGTATGGAACATGGGTTCCGCCTGATTTAATTGAATACAAGAAAAATCACCGGGATTCGAGGTCGAATATTCCATTATTGATTTTAGCATAGCTATCAGTTGCGACTCTCTGAGCTATGGAACCATGTCTATAGACAACGCAAGGGTTGCGAGCAGCTTTCGTGGCGTCAAAACTTTGCAAACCTCACAAGCAAAAGGAAGGAGTTGTCGAAAATGCTCTTTCTTCCCAATTTGACATTCCATTTTAATGATCCTAAAATTCAATAAACTAGCCCGATCAAGGTGCACAACATAGATATCGGACGAAAACCATTCTCTTTTGAGTGGGGTAAAAGATCATGCTGCAAATATTAAGTGGTACGCGGAAGATTAGAGTCAGAAGAAAAAGACGTTATCTCAGTTGTCAACCCAATACATCACCGGCGACGACGAAAGTCGATTTTCCAACTGGATTTCGCAAGTGTCCATACGCGCAGGTCAACGTCGAGGTGTTTTCAGTAGCACAAGTTGACGGGAGGATTGGCCCGCATGTAGTCCCTGATATAAACCCAGAGAATCTAGTTGTTCGAACGGTTCTGAAAACTGTAGGCAGGGTTTAAAGATCGGCTAGCTGAGTGCAGTGGTCGACGCGTGAAAAAAAAATTGCCGTCTCAGTCCCTGCAAGGCTAATAGTAAGTGTATCACATTTATTCATGGAGCTAGCTTCCGGACAAGGAGCATCGTTTGATTACTGGTTTCGTTATTGAACTCTTGTAAACTATCAGTCAAAGTGGAATATGCCCGAAATGGTCGAAAACCGATTTAATGCATGTGGAAATTTCCACAGGGAATCTGACTTTTGCAACATGTTTCTCAACGTCTTTATACGGCGACTATAACACCTTGATGACGAGCCATTTTTCCCATGACTTGCGCCTGGGACGGCACATTTTTCTACATTGAAACTTGGTAATTTCCAAATAAATGAATTACCACGACCAAAATCTATCGAGAAATGCAAGAGACGAGTATACAATCTCGAATCTCTGACAAAATTTAGCTCTTGTTGCTCCAATCTTCCGAAATCAGGCCATTTTTTTTTTAAATTTTTTTTAAAAAATTCTTTCCTATAAAGACAGAATTGACTGAAAATTTGTCTCCCGGGGTGGTTCGATTTCCTAAAGAACAATATCGCATCCTCGACCCGAAAATGTTTGTTCTTGAAATTAATTTTATGAAAAGAAAGTGAAACAATCGAGCAGATCTTGAGTTATATAATAACTGTGGGACAGCATTGGGCGACGCCGTTCCACAAGACAAACTTTCTGTCGTCCACCATTGACGGAAATCGTCGTCAACGCGTTAAGTGGACATGATATTTTTGTTGGGGGTCGGTTCACCGGTAAGGACAAGTTTTCAGGGAATTTGATGATCTATAGGACATTTTGGCGCGGGCGCTAGGCAGTTTTGTGGCAAGCGATTGTGATATTTGTGTTCAGGGGTCAAGCTAACCCACGAGACAAGTTTTCAACGATTTTGGTGACCTGAAGTATTTTGGCGCCGAGCATTTTCGCGGGAAACGAATGTGATATTCGTGTTCAGGCGTTCAAACCACTTTGGCGCCGGCGCCTGTGGCGCGGGCGCCGGGCAGTCCGGGTCAAACCACTGTGCTGTTCGTTTCAGAATTTCAGCCTACTCCTATAGACATCTTTTGAACAAACTTGGTTGCTCGCACGTCTTTATTATTAGAGCAGTATGCTGTCGGACAGCATTGTCCGACACCGTCCCATGAGACAGACTGGCTGTCGCCCACCATTGTCCGACACCGTCAACGTGTTATAGACAGCTTCTGCGATAAAAGTGTCAAGGATAAATGCTAGATACTATGAAACAGTAGCTGATAGGTAATTCTTCAATGAAGGAAAAAGCAACAAGAGCCCTCAAGAACAGCACAAACAAAATTGCTCCCTTACTGTTACACCGCCGTGCGGTCCGTGGGCAACCCCTGGCTCACAAATCGCTTTATGGCATTTCCCAGTAGTGGGCAACATCCAGTTTGAAGAAAAGAATATGAAAAACAACAAAGACACGAACAAAAACATAAGAGAAAAAGGAAAAATTTAAAACATGTCGTCCTACTCTGGGGTTACGTGCAGTGTGCAGCTTTTGGTGCATGTCGAGCTTTTGCACCACAGAAATTGCATCATTAGTGATTTTTACGCGTTTACAACGGCTTAGCGAGATGGGTTGCAGTTTGACTGTATGTGCTCCCAATGAATAAAATGTGATGAAGGAGAGCAGAATTATTTATGGGCACGAGCGCGGTCAGCAAAAAGTACATGCAGTTCCGATTAATGCCCGCCGTCCCAACAAAGAACAACTGAGCGGCTCTTCGTCAGAGGGCAGCTAGCAAGTGGGGCGGTCCAACTGAGCGGGCGTTAGAACTAGAACTTTGAGCGGCTGTAGCTCGTTCCTCGCTCACTGTGAAGTCGTTAGAGTGGGACAGTATCTAGCTTGGGGGCTGAACTGCCTGAACAAGAAGGACGTTCATGTACTTCTTGAGCACGGGGGCTCTTTAAAGTGGATGCAACAATATCGGATCACCGCATGGAGACATGCTTTCACCAATTTAAGAGGTTGGAGGTGTACTGAATGGGAGATCATGATGGCTGTTAGCTTGTTGATAGATATTTAGGAACACTAAGCTGTAATTTAAATTGAGAGTGTAAAAATTGAGGCAAGACATACAAGATAACCTCCTAGTTCAATTTCATCTGTTCTAGAACCAACGCCCACGCCTAGATAAGATTGAACTACAACGACGTGACAAGGAAGACCAAGCCATGGAGGATCAAGAATCAAATGTTCGTCATCAGTCGAATAAACGGTAGTGTTATTCAGCTAAGAACTTTCTTGATGGGACTACTTTGCCCAAGTACGTTTGTCTGTCTTCCAAATGAAGGCGGGATGAGCTTTTAAGATATAAGAAGTTGAGAATTATGGTGATGTCGTCAATGTTCCCTGGTTTGCCTTCGTTCTTAAAAAGCAATTTCGAACGAGTTTCCCGTAGGCATGTTGTCAGCAACCGCTACGGGCACTGGTGCATGTATGTACTCACACATCCATATAAGGGTACCTTGTAAAAGGCGCTACGCAGCGCCTGATCAGGGTCGCGGAATTCCCTCCGGCCAGGCGTTTTAACCAGGGTCGCGGAATTCCCTCCGGCCAGGCGTTTTAACCATACTCCTCTTTGGGGATTTATCATGCCAACTGCCTTTAAGTGGGATAAAAGTGGGATATCCGTTCAGTGGGATATCCATATTAAAGGCACGTTCCGCGATAAAATAAGGCTATGACCTCTCAAATGTGTCGGACGATCCGGAAGGCGATTTTTGAGGCTGCGCTACTTTCAAAATGTGAAAAACGGCAAGAACTCCGCTAGAAGCTGACTAATTAGGCCCATGGACACCCCTTAGGCCCATGCCGACCCTCACCGGCTGCTAGCTACTAGCTAGTAGCCACTATGTTATCTTTCTCTATAATTTCGGACTGCTTTTTCTACTGCTTTTCTCCGCTAATAAGATACTTAGCACTTTTTTGTGCCTATTTGAGTTCCGTTTCCCGCAATTTGCGGTCGCGAACTGTGCCTTTAAGTGGGATATGCGTTCACTAGGAGACCGGGTGTGAAATGTTGTAATTGCTCTTCAACTCTCCGCGTTCTCGACAACCTCGGTATTCTGACCTACGTTGAACGGAAGATATGTATAAATGGCAGGACTTGCGGTACACTGCAACTAATCAGGAAACTGGATTGCTGCCACCTGACTTCTTCCTCTGAATTGATGGTTAATTTTGAAAAACCTCTCACAGAATGGACGTCATGGATCTCATCAAACTGGCGTCGGGCGAGGAGAGTGACCGAAGACTGTCGTCAGTTGACGAGAACAACAGTGTCCTCGATTCTGGTGATGCTACTGGCTCTAACTCCATTATTGATTGCAACAATTCGGATACAGTTGACGTTTTTCAAGAGTAAGTTCACTTTGTTTGTGATGCACTCATTTGTGTTTCACTGAAGCTCGCTATTCCTATCCTTGTTTCAGTGCAATAGGTGTAACACCGAGCATATCTTCAGAGTCCAGTGCCCTACTAAGTTGTGGTTCCAGCAAGCTTCATATACAGCGATATCATGGTGTGTCCTTGATGTTCTCTTTTTTGCACTAAATGCATGACACCAAAGGGGGGGGGGGGGGAGAGGGGTGAAAGCTGTTTCTTAAGAAGATACTTCCGGAGTGTTTCCAAGTCCCCTTGTGAGTCTGGCTGATTGCCAGCTGCTGGGAATTATGACCATGGCGTTCTCATTCTTCGATTTCATGGAATGGGTTTCTCAAGATAGCTTCATAGTACAGTAGCGACACACCTTTTAGGAAATCATTGCTACCGCTATTCCTCTATTATGCCAAAAATTTTCTGGTTCTGTAAATTCAAACTGTAAAATCACCTCCGTGGGGCTAGATCCCTGCCATGTGGGAGGTGAAAGGTCTGCAGCTACAAAAGAGTGATGTGTTACTTTCTCCGCTCAAAGGTGTACGGGAACGAGGGCCCTAGGGTAGTGATACCCTTGCGCCCTCCGCAAACTCCGCCTCGCGCTGGCGCTTTGCCAGTCCTGATTAGCCAATCGCGCCCTGTCGCTTCTCTTTGACCTCATGACAGCGTGTTCGCTGTGTCTTTAATGGTTCCCGAATACAGTCTGATCTTATTCTCACTTCGACATGAACACGAGGCTCAAAGACATTCCACGATTAGCCGATGAATCGAATCCCTTGTACATTTATTTCGGCGATCACCATGGGTTGAACCTACATTCGCTGCTACACAGTGAGTGACGAGAGCACTGCGGTCGCCATAAGCTGAAGTTATGGAACCCGTATAAGTTGACTCAGAAATTTGAGCGCTTGATGTGTCAGCGGTCGCATGTTTGAACACAGGTGTGACGCGCTGGTCCTTTTAATTGTAGGACCACTGTCGTCGCCTTGTTCATATTCCAACTACCCTG